CCTACTTTTGAAACGGTTATTCTTGCGGGATATAATTGTATAAAACCGAAATATTAATTTTAAAGTTGTGAAATAAACGATGGTTCAAGTTAAAAGTTTTCCGTATACCATAACGAATCTTCGAATGATACAATATTATTATTTTACTCGCTGAACTTATTATTTATAATTTTTCAACCTTCTTTTTTTCATTTACATACCCCTTGACTTCTCGTCATTGCTCTACAAACTCCCAAATATCGACTTGCCGTATATTTTATAACACATAACATATAGATAAGACTAATTTTCCAGGATCACCAGGGGTCCACGTATCCCCGGTTGAGAAACACTGTTTTATACAGTTCATCTAACGAGATTCGCAAGTCGTAACTACTATTTAACTTGGTCAGAAAATAACGTACACACGACACATCGGAGCGAGATTTTTGGTAGAAAAGTGTGCACAACAAATCGAGGGGTATTTGCGATTAAAATAGTCCGAGCGAGCGATGGCTTGGGTCCTAGGTACACCCAAAATGCTTTTGTGCTCTCCTTGTTTCGGTAAAACGGAAAAAAAATACAAACAATTTTTTTTCTTTTCAAAGTTTCGAACTCGCGAACTCTAGGATGAAAATTGACTACGGCAAACATGCTTTAGAAGAGACAATATTTAGTTATCAAACGTAACATGTAATATCCATATAACATCATAATTCGCGTAGTATGACCGTGTATATTTAACCGTGATAAATGTTTACATTGTCTCACTTTACGTATACAAAATTTTCTTCTTTACAATAACTTATTATTAGGTACTATTATTATTATACATAATTAACGCGCCCCGCAGAGTATTCATTTTATATCGATTTTATTTTTATTTTTTTTTTTTTCATACTTATCAATAATCCGTTCAATATATAAATAAATAGATAAACGGATAAATGCGTCGCCTGGAGTATTATGATATAGTTTATAATTAAACTTTAATAAATATAAATATAAATTTGAAATTAATGAACACCAATATAAATATCTACTTCAATAAAACTTTTAAGAAACTGAAAGTCGTTCCGAAATACATAAATATACACATTAAATGTACTTCTGAAGCCGCGATCAAAGCCAAGAAAGGAGCAAAGGCAATATGGCTGACCTCTGAAATACAATTTTTATTAAACAGAAAATACGTAATAATAGGAGAGATTAATAATTTAGAAACAATTTGATCTCAAAATTTAAACTGCTTACAAATTTCACACTATAAAAATTATATCCAACAAAAATTACTGCTTAAGAAAAATGAGAAATGGCGTAGGTTAATGATAAAATTAATATTTTAGTAACACAATATACACAAAAATTACAACTTAAAAACCAGCATTATTTTTAACCGCGAGTTACTAATTTAACTTCCTTAGTTTTCAATAAAGCTGAAAACTATTTATTAAATAAAGGTAATAAATCCAATACATATCAAACATTAAACTTTCAATCAATTAAAAAACAAATAATACAATGTGAATCTGTTATAAATTATGTACAATTTACCAAAATTAAAATCAAACAAGATACAGTTTAATAAACAGTACCAATAAAAACTACAAAAATAAACCCAATAAAATATTAAAACAAAATGGTATAGTTAAACGAAAAAACACAATTATTTACAACATAATGAATAAATTAAGAACAAATAATTCATAATTAGTTCCAGTAGATAAATGTAATGCAAGTGCTATCATTTACACTAATGAAAATCATAAAATAAATTTAGATTTTATAAATAATAATAATATTCAAAACTTAACATATGATCCAACTATAATTTACCCTACACAAATTAATAAACTGATAACAAATTTGAAAGAAATCATATCTTAAGTTCAAAATAAAATATTATTAAAATCTGATTACATCAGTCAAAATAAACGCCATCTACATTCGTGTCATGGATTCTGCCGAACCCTGTGTTTCGTACTACCATACAACATAACACCACAATATTGTAGAACTTACTTTAAAAATCTCATTGGAATCCTCTTGTCGCAATAATACTGTTGTAAGTACCTAGGTATTTGGTAAAATGTTCGGGTCTCTACGATTATTTCCAACTGATAAGAATTACGAAAAAAAAACTTGCTTGAAAATAATGAAAATCATTATTGCGTAAATTTTCCCGTTAGCCAACTTTTTCCTAGGAATAATAATTGAATTACAATTTTGCTCCCCTCCCCCTCTTACTATTCTTGGAGCTGTGCCTCTGCGCGAGATTTCTGAAAAGTTGTATATTAATTGGATCTTTGAAACTATTATTGCAACATGTGTAACTTTACACTTTACGTATCAACACAATCACGATGTATTGATTACAATGTTATATAGATAGATAGGTAAGTAGTTAAATTAGTTACAGAACAACACCAGAATCTGAAACAGTTTATTGACGGTTTACCATGTGCTGTTTACCTGTTAATTTATTTAATTTACACAAAAAAAAAAAATTTAAAAATTTACTAACAAATTGAATATATTTATTTAATTAGTTTGATATTAAAAAATATTTACTACTGAGTACTTAGATAAATTGTGTTCAGTAAAACGTTGACGGTTTGGGCACAAAATATTTATGTACATAGAAAATGATCCTTCTACATCCACTAGTTATTGGGGTGTATTTCGTGCATAAATAATTATCTAAATTAAGATTACTATTTATTAAGTCATTATCATCAATACCATCAAAAGAGGTATTTATAAGTAAAAAAGGCAAAAAAAAAAAAAAAAGAGCTGATACTGGGGATGGGTGTAGCCACTGTTGTAGGTGGGTAATGGAGAAGGTGGGATGCATAAAGTTAATTAATTTATACCTGTAACCAAGGATAAACCATTGCTAACGAAAAACGATTCGGAACGAAGTTCAGTTACACATGTTTTGAAAAGCCGTAATATTTACGATTTTCGTCAAAATTTGATATTAAAATTGCTTTATAGAAAAAAATACAACATAAAGCTTAATTTTTTTTTTTTACCACAAAGTACGACATTTAAGGAACTTCCTGTTAAATTTTCAAGCATCTCTATTTAGTATAGCAATTTTATCCAAAGAGTACCTACATAAAAATTTTGAACAAAACTTCCAAATTAAAATATCTATAATTAGTTCAGAAATGGATCTAATGTTTTGAAAATTTTAGCACGTCTAGGAAAAGCAAATATAAGTTTTTTGTCAAAATTTCAAGTATTTATAAATATATAAAACTAAATTACATTAAAAAAACAAAATTTAAAATAATAAAATAATTATTTTCGTACATTTTTCCGTACTTTCTACATTTTATTTCGGTTTTGCTCAATTATTAAAAAAACTACAAAGAAAATCATAAAACGATTTTCTTGTTCACCAACTGGATTTACAAATCCAACAAAAAAGATATATTGATGTTTTTTTATTTTGCAACTAGATGGGTCGATCGCCACGGTGCAGTTATATTATAAGAAAAACTTCTACCAGCCATTTTACATGCACTACATAAAATTACACTTTGGACAGATTCTAACACTTTTAGTTCTGCAAATCATCTTCTTACTGCGATAAAACAGTTAACATTTCAAACAGCTTTATCTATTTAAGTGAAAATACTTTCCATAAGTTTTCCACTTAGCCGATATCTTCAAACAGTATATCTTGATTTAAAAACTACATTAGAAGCGGTTAATGTTCGAAATAATATTCAAGATATTAGAGAAAATTGTGATGTAGAGTTTCAACAATTATTTTTATCCGTAATAACTGTTTGTAAAAAATTTGATATTATTGTTAGTTTGCCACGTCAATCTAAATCAGATGGTCCAGAATATTTTTGAAATAGTCATATCTTTTATAATTAATTGTTTAGACCAATTGAACGAAAGATTTATATCTCACATATTTGTTTTGAATAATTTTGATTGTATTTTACCTAAGATAGAGATGAAAATATCTGAAGATATTGAAGGTAAATTCAGACAATTATTAAGAACATATCAATATATAATTTATGAATGTAAAAATTCAAATTTAAATGATCATATATTAAACGGAGGATAAGATTTATGGTACACTAAATATTCAAATTTAACATCTTCCGAACTCAAGAACAAAAATACTATTGAAGTTTACTTCTAAACTAGTCCAGATGTTTATCCAGTAATATCTCAACTTCTTCAAATATTAATAACATTTCCAGTGTCTACGGTCACGGGAGAACGATCGTTTTTAACACTCCGTCGTTTGAAAACATAATTGAGAAATTCATCGGGAGAAATACGTTTAAATGGTTTAGCCTTAATAAAATATATTCATCGCGATATCAACGAGGGTATTAATGATGTTATAGATTAACTTGCTAAAACATCAAAACGATAAATGAATATAATTTATAGTTTTTAAAAAAAATAAATATTTCGACTTTTATATAATTAGCGTTGTAAAATATTAATACAATTTTTAATATATGATTATAATAAACACAACAATTTCATTTGTTATATTTTTTTCAACCCTCCCCCCCCCAAAAAAAAAATCTAGATACGCCATTGCATCCATCATGTTCGATATTAAATGAAACACAGTTTTAATTAAAAATTATTTTTCTATTATTATAATTAAAAAAGGTATTTTGCCTTCAAATCCAAACGCTACTTATTAGTTAGTTCCATTAATATTAGTGATGGAAGTATTTAAATTTTATACATCTTTATTTAAATACAAATTTAATATAATAATTGAAATCTAAAACTTTTTGGAAGAAAAATTTGTTTAATCACGTGTGCGGTCAAATAATAAAAAATTTAAAATACCTTATTAAATGAAAGGCAATTTTTTTTCCTTTCTTCATCATTTAACACACATGGTAAGTTTTCCACACCAGTTGGTCGGTCTATCAAATAAGTAGAGGTACCTATTGCAATAAAGCTACAGCATGGAAAATATACATAATAATAATGATAATAATAAAAAATAATTATAATATATAGGACGTTTTATTGTTTTGGCATTGTGTGGACAATAAATAATGTATAATATTATGTACATACGTACATTTGGTATAAAATATTCTAAAGCGTTTAATCATTGTTCTCTAGTAAGTCTAAAAAAAAAAAAAAAAAATAATAATAATAATAATAAATAAATAAATGTGACCTAATACAATTATACAATATAATATAAACATTACCTATAATAATAATCGCGTGTGTAAAACAGTAATAATAATAATTATACAATTATATAAACAATTTAATAGCAAATCAACAACTTCTTAATAAGGCAAACTTGGTGACGCCAAATCTACATATTGTTATAATATTGTAACAACAATATTATGATCACTATAAATAATTCTGGAGAAAAACACATAAGGCACATTAATAATATTTAATTCTAATGGGAAAGGGTTATGAGGGTACAAAATCATAATGCATGAGGGTGTATTATTAGACTTTGGATTTGTTCAGTTTACATTTTTCAAACGGACATCAACAGATTATAAATTGGTACTTATTCACACATATCGCACAATTTTTTTAACCGGGGAAATAATATTATCTATGTTAACAAATGTATTACATAATATAATATATTAGAGGTTTGTTATTGGATAGTAATATTTATATTTTGTATACAAAAAAACAACCAGTTCTTTTTATTGATTAACATTAATTTAGGTGCAAATTTATATTACCATATGGCATCATTAACAGGAAAATATTATGTCTCTGAGATAAACACAGACAATAAATTTTCTGAAAAAGCAAAATATTGTCATTGGAAACGTGCATAGCGTGTTCATAAAATTAAAAAAATATATAAGCAATACAAATTTACACGATTTACAAAACTGTGAATTTAGTATGGTACATTTTTTTAAAAAAAGTTTATACAATCTGACAACAATGTAATGACACATTATGTATGTATATATATGTATAAAATGTTTACAAAAATGAGTTCATATAAATCTATATTAAAATATTTAAAAAAAAAAATAAATAAAAAACTAACGAGGTTATAATATTAGTTGATTAAAAGTAACGTAATAATAATAATAATAATAATTGTCATATAGGTATGCTGATAACCGTACAATAGTAGTTTACTTAAAAATGAACACAACAAAATCTGAATCAATGTAAAAAACAAATAATGACATAACATTATTGATAAATTATAATAAATACAATTCATCATATTTTTTAGTCGTAAACAAAAAATAGTGGCATATGGAGGTTGTATTAATGTTTATAATATACTATATTTATTTTTATTATTAAATCACAACTTATGATTTGTTAGAGATCTTAAATTATACAGACAATTGTATAAAGTTATATTGATTTAGCAATGGAAACTTTTTAGATTCTAATTTGAATCCTTAATTTTTTAATAGTCATAAAATATAATACCCAAAAATAGTGTCAGTTGTAGAAAAATATTATTTTTAAAATGATTTTTACTGTTTTATTCAGTATAGTTTTATTTTAACACCCGAAAATTCTCAATAGTTTACATATAAGAAAAATATATGTATACAAAACACAATAAATGTAAAATGTACCAATACACGTAACACAGTAATGAGTAAAAGCATTTTTATTTGTAATCTACCCCATTTATATTAATTTAAATTGATTATTGTTACGGATTTTATATACAGAATAAATATACTAATAAATATATTTTATATGAATCGATAATTATTATGTTTTATAATCAATATTGCTATGAAATATTAATGAACACATTTCTAGATTTTAATCATTTTTTTGTAAGGTAAAAATAACGTAAATTTGAGTAAATATACTGACAAAACTTATATTTTTGAAACAAAAAAATAAAATATTACAACAAGTTGAATTCATAATAATCATTTTCTAATAATTTAATTTATAAGGAACATAGGCTTTGGCCGATTTTATTTTTATATTATGACTATTTTCAGAAGCACAATTACAATTGTATTTATACGCTAAATAATTCATACTATAAAACAACAGTCTGGGAAAAAATAAAAATAAATTTAAACTAAATACCATTAGTAATCTATAGCAAACTTAAAAAATATTAAAATCTCTTATATACTGATATGTTAATTAATATATTATTTTCAGAATAGTAATTTATTAGTCAACCTATATGGACAGTGTGTATATGATAACAGATAACTAGGTGCTAATTTACTAATAATTATTATCAAAACTTTGGTAGAACCTAAGTTGTGTATTTTATTTATTTAGTTAACGAATATAGTATTAGCTTAAAAGATTTTCGGAGGAAGTTACTGAAATTTCGAAATACTTGAATACTTGAATTTTAATACAACAAGAATATTTGTTTAAAACAATCAAAATATTTGTACACAATATTATATTGAAAGTTGTTTTTGAATACAATTTGAAATAAAAGAAAAACAAATTGGTTTTAAGGAGTATAATAAAATTATAGAGCACCATGCTAATATTAAAAAAAAAAATAAACAACTAAGGTGTTTTGACAGTTAAAATTTAAATTTAAAAACAATGATAATTTAATTTAGAAAGAACATTCTCCAGTGGTTAAATAACTGAAAATCAATTAGGTTAATGTGTATATTATGAAAAAACCAACAGATTATTTATATGGCAAGATTAATATTTCTATTATTTTATCTATTAAGGCAAGATTTAAAAAAAAAAAAAATTATAATATATTTTTCATTAGACAAGTCTTTAATTTTATAATATTAATACAATTGGCTTTTATTTTATAACTATTTCAAACTATATTAAACAGTTTAAACTAACCTAATTATTTTTAAGCTTATATAAATACTATAACTAAATATTTTCTTTGGTAACGAATATCACTTTTAGTAAAATTTATATTTCTCTTATAAATATTATATATAATGCATTGAAACACCTCAATAGTCCTGGTACTTTTTAATATAGTCTATGATAATTTTTGTTTTCTTATTTTATTTTTTTAAAAAAAAAAAATCATGTAATTTTTAAAACTAATCAGTCGAAACTTATTAGGTTATCGGGTAATTTAGTATCTGGTTGGTGTACTAACTGCGCGGCATGATACAGTCGTCTATACCACTGTAATGCTGTATTTTCGCTATCCGCACGAAATTTATAGGTATTTCCTGAGAAAAAAATCAATTTAAATATTATATTCACGAATGCAAACATTAAAATTAATTATTATTTACTCTGATCTGGATGCTTGATTAAAAATGTATCTGGATTGTCACCAAGACTGACCGTGCATCCTTTCAACGGGCATAATTTGCAAGGTTCTCGTTTAAAATCATTTCTATTACAACTATATAATAATATAACATAATATTATACACACAATATAATTATATAAACACACATATTAATTTACACTAACCCTTTAAATGATTTAGGTGAGTAATAGATTAATACAGATGCCCATAGTTGAATCCAATACCGCTGCCAAGTTGCCACAGCTGGTTTTCGGCCATTTTTCAATACCACTTTACGCCTTAAACAACTCTCCAGACTAATTTTATGAGCTCCTTTTAAAGTTCTATTCAAATGAGATACACAATTTAATACTCTACAATAAAATCATTTTTTTTTCTACTCACTGTGAAGGTGACAAATTCAAGTTAGATAGATCTAATGTGTTCTCTTCAATGAGAGAATCATCCAGCAAATTTCTTGAATTTACAGTTGACAATATCCCTTCATCGGATTTATGAATCAGACTATAAGAAAACAAATATAATATCATATTAATTAGAAAGCGTAAAAGTTAATACAAGAAAATTAAATTGGTTATAATTTCAAAAATGTAAGGTTTTTAATTTTTATATTATTTTTAATTTTATGAAAAACAGAATTATAGGCAAATTTCCTAAAACTCAAAATTATAAATTCATTATTTAAAAAAAGTGTGTTTTAAAAGTTCATTTGGTTAAAATGTACCATATAATATATGCACAACAAAATTAATAACCTTATGATGTAAAAACAAAAACTAGATTTTCATTTTTTTGATTCTGAGCAATCTATTAATATATTGGTTTTACAATGATTATTTCAATTTTTTTTATACTGTGTAAAAAATTTTACTAGAAATCTTACTCTGATTTTTAAGTGTAGCACTTTTACCGGAAAAAAATTTTCTCGAGGTGGTACTTTAAAAAATGGTAAAATTTACAAAAAATAATTCTTATGTTATTTTAAATTTTGTTTTTTTAATGTAAGTAATTCAGTTAAAAATAATTGTAGAGACTTGGTATGTGGTCAAGAAACTTATATTTGTCTTTTCTAGGAGTGGTGAAATCTTCTAAAAAACATTTGAACCATTTTTTAGTTATTTATAAACATATTAATTTTGAATTTTTTTTGTAATATTTATTCAGTAGGTACTCTGTGGATAAAATTGTTAGACCAAACAGAAATACTTGAAAATTTAATAGGAGTTTCATTATAAGTTACACTTAGTGGTTAAAAAGAAAAGGTTGAGTGCTCACCGTGTTCTTTAAGTTACTGTATTGCAATCCATAACGTAATATATTAATTTATTACCAATAGATTATTTATATGATAATTTAAATGTTCAACTTTTATTATTTAATATTAATAGACTATTTTGTACAATATGTTCATAATATACACTATCAATTTATTATTTTAAAATTGGAAATTAATTCCTGTAAATAAAATTATTATTATTATTATTTGCATGTATTTACTTTAATATAATAAGTATACTTATTAATATTTATACTAATTATTTATAAGTTATTTATACTTTTTGATAAATAATACATTTTACCATACATGATACACAAAAATATGTTGTCAAAATAGGTAAAATATGGTATCAACTATGATAACTGATAAGCATAGCCTTAGTGATTCTTCATTATTCAGTCATCATTATTCTAAAACTTAGTCCAGCACAATTAATGAATTTTTAAAGAAAAAATATTTACCTACTACTATTATTATACAATAAATTAAAAATAGTATAATTCAAAAAATAGCTTCCTATTCTAGTAAATAGTACATTTTACTTTTTAAAATTTAATGTTTTAAGTTTTTATGAAAATTATAACAATGACGGCATTTTAAAACCTATTTTCCTGAAATTCTCTCAGAATTATTTTTGTTAGCATTTAGGAACAATTTATTGTAGTGTACATAATATAAATTAAATTACTCTATTATATACTATCTTCCTAACTTCCAACCAACAGTGGCACATCTATCAGCAATATCTATTAGCACATTTTTATCTTAAATGTATGGACTATACAGAGTGATCCATTTAAGTGGCTACATTGAATATTTCGAATAGTGTTAACTTTATCTAAATATTTAAGAATATTTTATTTAAAAAACAATCAGCTCTAAAATTTTATAATAACATAATTCATTGTCACCCTTATTTTATTTTTAAGGGTGCACTGACTTTCGACTTAAATACATATTTGATTTCTGTCAACCCATTGACAAGATTTTCCATGTTAGACTAAGGGGAACATTATTAACAAAACTGTGTACCATACTGTCACACAAATGATGCTCCACTACTCTCTCTTATTACAAATTTTAAAATGGAATATCTCGTCAAGATGTTAACAGAAATTAAAAATGCCAACACTAAAACTTATTTCAACTAATATTTCATCTATTTATGGCATTTTTAAAATACATAAGTTACTACTTAAAAATCAAAAGTAGATAGTCGTTTCACTCTCAAAAATAAGGATGACAAAATATAATATACACAAAACATCTTAAAGCTGCTTGTTTCTAAAATTGTCCTAAAAAAAAAATGTTTTGTAAAAAGTAATTGTTCAAGATATATTGAGTGTAACCACATAAATTGATTACCTTATAATAATTAAAATACTAAAATATCAACAATATCGATCACGACTCAACAAAATAGACTAATAATAAACAAAAGCATTTTAAAACCCTAAACTATAATAATTATTTTATTAATCGTTATTACACAGTATCAATTAAAATACATAAGTCTTGTTGATAATTTAAGGTGATTTTCTTATCCACAACAAATAGGAAATTCAGTAATATATTCAGCAATATCTATATTACACAGAACATATTACACATGAATATTGAATAATACAACATATTCAAAATTAAAATTTTTAGATTATTAACATTTATTGTCATTAATTACTAAGACTATGACCGGCATCAGTGGCATCATCTAAAAATATGTGAAAAGTGGCATAATTCTATTTGACCAAATTACACAAAATGATAAATCTTTATCCATAAATAATCAACTGTTATAATATACACATTTTGTTTTAAGTTAACACAATATTTATATTATATGATGATATACATTTTTCAAGTCAAGACAGTAATGAATAGCTGATCAAATTTTCGAAGCGTGGTGGCAGCATAATACATGGCTTTAGATAATGCCTTAATTAGCATATAAATAATATTCAAAATATTATTCTATTACTAAAGATCAGTTATTACTGTGTAAACGACATATATTACATTGACAGCAATATTCAATGTACAAGAAATTATAAATTAATAAATAGTAATATAACCCAGGGATCGGTAATTATTAGATAACTAGGTAAATTATCAAAATTATCGATATCTAATTATTAATCTCGTTATTAATCAATTTAAAGCAAAAACAAAAATACATAAGGTGTTAAAGTATGTAAGAACTAATAAACTGTCTATTTTAGTTTTGTGTAATTTTGTCTATTATTAGAAATATAGTTATCATATTTGTTTTTAATACTATCTTGGATAATAAGGATTAGATAACTATCAACGATCCCTGATATAACCTAAGATAAAAATGTTACAAATTATAATGCAGTCGAAATAATATGCACGTAAATAGTGGCATTTCAGCTGTTATCTTATTAATGGACAGTTTTATTCCGTATATACAATATAAAATTAGAATAAAATACTAATAAACGTATGCTATATTGGTAGGAGAAAATGTATTAAGATTAAAAAGAATGAAAGTGGTTTCAAACATATATTATTCAAGAAATTATAAAATTATTAGTTAAAAGGACCAAAGCCACTGATGACAGGTTAAATATTAAAACAAACAAAATAAATTTAATTAAAAACATCCAAGTATATATTATGGAAATATCAAAATGATTTATACTTTGTTGTAATAAATTATATTATAAATATATATTTATAAATATATAATATATTATAATATAATTATAAATATAAAAAAAGATACAATTGAAATCTTAGTATCTCACTGATATTATTTAAGGATATATGCAAATATTTTGCGTGTAAAAACCATTATTTTGTTATTAAAAACCAATTGTATTACTAAAATACTAAAATAATATTTTATTTTATTTTATTTTATTTAATGTAATTATTGCATAGCAGTTATGTATTATTTTTTATTAATTTTATTCATTAATATAAGTGTATTATTAATTAATGTATCGGTGTCAATAATATAAAATATTGATTTTTAATAAATAATTAATAATTTAAAAATCTAACCATTCATTAACCATTTGATTATTAAAAGCTAAATTAGTATACATTATTTAGTTATTATTTTTTTTAAATTTTTTTTTTAATGATACTCTGAAAATTTTCACAACAAATCAAATATACCTCAATATTATAAAGTGGAAAAAAACTAGATCTAAATAAACAATAAAAAAACTTGTGAATACTAAAATAAATCTTTACTACCAAAACCAAAAGTAAAATCAGTTTAAAAAAGCAAATAAATATTAAATATTCCAGCAAAAAGCAAAAACAAACAAACACTGTATTAGTTATGCTCAAAGGAAAAATAAAGAAATGCAAAGAATTTTTTAACACTCATAAACCTAACTGCTTACCTATTATTATTACACACTGCAGATTGAATCACAGGTTTTTTTAAAAAACTACGCGGTAGACTTGCACTGCGATATCTGATTAAAAAATAAATGTATTCTTAAAATGACATAATCATAACTCAGTGTTAACAACCTTCCATATTATTTATGAACACATGAAATAAAAATGAATATATAACAAATTAGTTTGCTTACTTTGAGCAGTTTGTTTTCTGTTGTTGCTTACACAAGGAAAACTTCCTTATTCGCATTAATTCTGTTGATTTTGCTGGTGATAAACTCAATGAATCCAACAGTACTTGATTAACTGATTCTTTTGAGCCTCTAGAGTTTTCTGTTTGACAGGATAACGGTTCTAACTTTAATGATAACCTAAATACAATAAAATACTTTTAGTTAATAACTGATTAATCGTTAATACTAAATACTGCAAAACATACTTATATTGGTCATCTTGAACAAACTTATGTAGTTCTTCGATATATCTGATAGAATTCAAATAATCACTTATCCTAGGAAACCGTATTAAATTATCATATCGGCTTTGTTGCAAATGTGATATGACTCTTAAAATATTATTCATTTTATACCGTCGAGCATCAGATTCTAATATACCACTACTTTTATGTGGATGGGCCATATCAACGTACACCAAATCAGTCAAAAATACACCTACATATTAAAAATGATAATAACACACAGTCCTGTGAAGTAAATTTTGTTTTTATTGTTTGTATTAAAATACCTGATCCTCATAAATGTTGACGTGCTTAATTGAAATCTGATTGCTTAAAAGCGGATTGTTTGTTTTTATTACTTCTAATAAATAATTAGTTATCTAACTTGAATATAAAAAATATATGTCATAATTAGAATAACAGAAAATGCACATAGGTAATTATTGTAAAGTATTGTAAAGTATTCAAATTTATAAAACAAATACATATTATAATACTAATTATACTTTTATATATATATATATATATATTTGATAAATTTAAATATTTAATAATATAATTATTGTCAATGTGCATTTATCTGTTATTGTTTATATAAGATATATCCTTTTATACTCAAATTATACAAAAATTAGAGGTGATAAAGACAAGCAGAATTCAACATATCAAAATCTATAAAGATTCGGTGTTGTAAATACTTATAATAAAAAAAAATATATAATATAATTTGCAGTACTGTATAAGAATAATAACAATAATACATTTTATGTAATACTTATTCACAATTGATCAAGTCATATTTAATAAAAGTATAAATTGTTGTATTATTTAAAAAATAAAAATTTAACACAAAATTATATAGTTAATATTATATTAATAACCCTCCTTTTTTTTATATATATATTTGTAGTATAAACAACTTTTAATTGTTTAAATAATAAACACTGATCCATAATTTTAATTATAAACTCTCAGAAATTATTTGTCTATTTGTTATCGACTAGACATGATCATAGAAAATGTAATCTCATATTCCCTTACACTCTTCAACAGTCAAAACTTTATAAATAATTTAAAAAAAAAAAACATTCAATGATATCTATATGTACAATGTACATTATATATTGACATAGTACATTAATGTTATCAACAAAAATTCCAACTTAAAAAAGTATTTTCTATTAGAAAATCAATAATTTATAATATATAAGTTAAGATCAAAATAATATGTTTATTATTTATATTTAATTGTATACAATTTTACATATATTAATATTTTTCAAACTAATTTTTTTTTTTAAGAAGAATAATTTTGGTAGTCTGAAAATTATTGTTGGACATTTGCTTCAGCATTTATCAAAAATAAATGTGTGGTATTTATATTGCACAATTAAATAACTATAGAGAAAAATAGATTTAAGGTATAAGTTATTAAAGTACATTTATATAAAGGTTATACATTTCTATAGGTGCTCATATTATTTTTAATACGTAGCATTAAAATTTGTTTTAGGGTATTTTATAGAAATAAAAAAAAATATAAAATATCAAACATAAATAGGTAATATTATACTCTGTTATGTAAAGTTTAAATTAATGTGTATTATAATTAATTTTAATGTAAAAACTCAAATAAATCTCGAAAAAACCTTACAATAAAATACACTAATTCAAACAAAAATACATAATATATTATAAATACTTGAATTATAATAATTATTGTAAGTAATATTGTATGTTTAGGAAAATTTTGAATATCTTTTTGATTTGAGTTCTTCATAAGGAGGGCGGAAGTATTCGATAAATATTTTTTGATGTTGGTATTGCATTCTTTTTGTACATCAAACTGTTTTGGTAATAGTGTACAACCTATTAATTTTATGTGAATATGTGAATACCTTTATTTGAATAAGTACATTTTATTGTGAGGCTTATTTTTTAGATTTATTTGAGTTCTTACATTATACTTACTATAAAAATAATATGAGCATCTAAAAAAATGTATAACTTTTTTATAAATAAATGTATTTTAATAACTTATACCTTAAATTAATTTTTCTCTATAACTATTTTAATCACGCAAAATAAATACCACATGTGTATTTTAAATATGGTCCATCAGACGGTATGATTTTATGACATTACACATTGAACACGACTTAAATTTAAACATAGAAGCAATTGTCTGATAACAATTTTTAGACCACTAAAATTTTTTTTTTTTTAGTACTACCTCTATTTTCTAACAATAAAAAAAATGATTTTTTTTATTTGTATAGTCCTTTCATATTAATCTTTATATTCATATTTTATTGTATTTACCTAAATAAGGTATACATGGTAAACGTAGAGTTTCAAGGTGATCCCGAAGATTCCTCCAGTTATTGGTTTCTGAGAACACATTGGCTAGTTTATCGAATGATTGTCGATCTTTCTTTGAAACATTGTTCCATGATTTCGATAATCTAATTGAAATTAAACAATTCAATGTAACAATGCAATTGTATCATGAAAGAAAAAAAAACTCACCGATAAACTGAAGCACTTTGAAGAGAAGAGATTACAGCAAATAGCGAATGGAAATTATTAAGGTCATATAATTTTTTAGAGATCTTTATAAATTGAGTGATTAGATCAGCACGCAATTTCGGTGTGGCACCTTTCAATATTTCCTGAACAACCCAAAATGATACCTGAAAATTATTTAATTAATTACTTCATTCAATTTATAAATAATATCACTTAGCTTTTGTATAATTTTTGACTTACATGATTGAATTGCCTAGTAAATGCAACTACATTTGGTGCGACTTCTAACTTTTGTTTCTTGTTCCAAGCACACGAAGATAACTCTTCTGGTGATATTTGACTAAATATATTTAAATCCAACAACGTTAGCTGAGCAGCCCAATCTTCTGGGAGAATACCAGGAGATAACACACCTTTAGTTTTATCAATATCTTGTTCGTCGACCGGTGAAACACTGTATGGATGTTTTAATGTCATATTACAAGGAAGACTGTGGGTTTTACATTGTCTTGCTAGACCACTTAAAAAAAAAAACAAAACAAAACATAAATATGTTAAAAATTATCATTTAAATTATATAGGGTATAACAAGACTATTTGAAATTTTTACATTGTAGTTACATGTAAAAATGTCTAATAGTCCAATTACACTCTGTATAAGAACAAAAAAATGATTTATTTCTGTTATCTATCATAATAATATTAACAAATAATTTGATTCAGTCAGGAAGTTAAAGAATTAATTAATTTTGTACCATTAAGTTTATTATTATATATGTTTTAATGTCTACACAGCTACTATTTTAAACAGTAATAATAGTTTAATCCGAAATGTGTATACAACCTAGATTATATATGAATCTTAGTAGCACTGATCCGAAACCTACCCTTGAGAGTACAAATAAATATAACAAAATGTGCAAGCACAATTCAAATTTTGAAAATATTTGGTAAAACTAAAATTCCGAGTTTATACTGCAAGACACAACTAAGTACACGTTAATTGATAAACAGAAGTAGAAATCAATGCTTTCCGGGAGGTATTCAGAACCTTATATGTGGTTAAACAGACATTTCGACTCTTAATGAAGACCCGAAAATATACAACCAATTCACTTCACATCGCTTCAGTCCAAGTCCTTCTATCTGACATGATTATAAGCCACAAAAAGTTAAACGAGAGGATACGAGAGCAGGGCTATTCAACAGGGACCATATACAATAAATTGAGTTCGTGTAATATGACAAACTCCAAAAAGCCACACCGCACATAAAGCTGAATAATATACCTCATCAGACAAAAATACTTTAAAAATTAAGAATTCGAATAGCTACATAACTAGCAAATCAAAATCAACATAATAATAATCTATTTGTAATAATCCTGCAGGACATACCAAGAAGTATATTTTGGATTATAAGCGAAGTAAGAAAACTATTAGTTTTTTTTTAATTTTACTCACCATGTTAATGTTTCCGAAAGACGTCTTCTGTGTTTTTGTTCGTACGACGGAGTTGATAGATTCGACGGATGTTTTTTCAAAGAGTTGTACGTGGTCAATTTTCTATACTCTGTACTAGAAACCAAGTGCTCTAGCGTGTCTTCATCGTCGTACGCCTTAGACTTCACTTTCTGCATACAACAAAACATTTGTATAGTTTTGTTTAAATATATAAAAATACTATACGGGAAATTCAACAGACAATAAAACTTTCGACTCAACGACATTTGACGAGAATATTATTACTAAAGAGAAAAAAAAAAGAAAATCAAAATCTTTTTCAATGATATTTTAGATGACCGGATACGAAATAAATGAATTATAGTACGACTAAATTATTATTATTATTATAGATGAACCGAAAACTAAAGTGTACTACACCGACCGAATGCACTATTTTTACTAATGCTTTGCAAAGCGTACGTAACATTTTATAGATAATAAAAAGACGTATAAGACAGAAATTATTACTTAAAACACGCGTTGATCACAGAACAAATATTAAAATTATTTTTGTCAGATAACCATAATAATAACACAAATTATCAAATATGTATAGGAGCAGAGGAGCAAGCGTAAGGCCAATATTATATTAATATTATGATGGTATCAGTTGTTTGGATGATACATATATAATATTATAATTGCAGGACGGATTCTTCTGTAATTAACCGTCGAACGCCGCCGCAAATAACGGCGTTTAGTACAATACCTATATGGAATTTTAAAAACAAATAAATTGTCTATATAAATAATAATTTCACAATGAAAAAAAATTATACATAATAATACAATGTATCCGCAGGGTTTAACAATTTCCTATGCAACTACTTAGTGCAGAGCGAGGAACAACTACACCCTAGGATTTAGAAAACACTATTGAAAATTACAATTTTCGTTTAAAATGCAATAAATTTAAATAATAATAATGGTTTATATTCTACAGTTCGTAATAGCTTATGTGTAGGTACAAAATTTATTGCAATATTATTTTAAATTAGGTACATAAAACTAGTATAGGTAATTTATTTGATTTCTTGTGGAAATTGATAACTTCCTCACTGCATTTATCTCTGTAGGTGCCCTTATTTACCCGGTATATACAAATATTTATATTAACATAGTTCGTGTGCCTAATTTAATGTGATTAATCAACATATTATTAAACTATAATAGATGACAAAGGCGTACGAGAATAAAAAACAAAATAAAAATCATACCGATTATACGAGTTTCGACTAATAAAAAAAACGATAAAATTATAATTACCGCTACGGTATTTTTTAATGATTGTAACCCATTTATAAACACAAGAATGTTTCCACAATCAAACTTTTTTGAAAATTATAAAATATTAAAATTAACAATTTTAAACAACCAGAATAGATCGAGGTTTGCATTCATAGATATACAAGGGGTTTATTATGAAAGAGGGGTTCGACCTTCACTATACAACTATACTGTATATACTATACTAACTAGTGTGTTTCACTCAAATCGTAACACGAAATATTTCTGTCCACCTCTGATTGAAATGGGGTTTTCAAGGGAAGATAGGAAATACTGAAATACACATTTTGTATGGATTTTCAAATTTATTACTCTTTCTATGTGCGCATGCGCAATAAAACTAGCATTTTTTTAAATGGAAACACCTGTATCCAACGCTTGATTTGGATTTTTTTTTTTTTAAACAACTTGTTTAAAATAAAAACTATTCCCTCCTCTCGAAAATTTGTCGAATTACAGCTAGTCAAATTTTCAATTTAAATTATTGAATTTTTCAACAAATTATCCTATGATTTTTAAATTTCAATATAGTTATGTACACTTTATTTGCACTAGTAGGTTTAACTGTCATAATTTCATATTTTTAAAAGTTTATTTGTAATACTTTACACTCGTGATACACATTTGTTGGTAAATTTACTCAGAAATACCGAGTACCTATTGAAATACCTACATATTTTATTGTAAACATTTATGGGTTTATCAATAAATGAGCTTTATCGGTTGACTAATGGATACAATTTTTACCATAGGCAGATATTATATAGATATTATTAGTTATTATTTTATTCCACTGAACGTAATAAAATTTATAACAACGATTCGATCATTCAAACCGAGAATTTTAATTGGATCGGAACATTCACTTTTGTGTTTCATTGAGATTCATATTATACAAAAATAGCTAGCCATAGTGAAAAATTGGATATGGTTTTTAATGATTGGTTTTGATTTTTAATGATGACTGATGAATATTTTTTGTAATAAATTGTTTAATACAAAATAATATTGTTTCAACTTTAACCAGCTGTATTTCGGCCAATATTCGAGATAAGGGAAAAGTTTAAGTATGTAAGTTGCTTAAAAAAAATGGTTTATCTAAATCAAGTGTTGGAAATAGGTGTTTCCGTTTTAAAAAAATGCAAGTTTTATTGCGCATGCGCACTGAGAAAGTAATAAATTTGAAAATCCATATAAAATTGTAATCAGATCATAAGATGGATTAATAATTAATATTTAATGTACTCGCATAGGTACGCCTATTTATTTACAATAATGTATACAAAATGCATATACAATATGCATATTAAATTATTAAGCAATACGGGAATAAAGGTAAATAGAATAAAAAATTGGCACGGGAAACGCCGGGCGCAGGACAGCTAGTACCTTATGTAGATTCCGTTTGTTTTCGTCGTGAAGATTTGAATATAATAACTATTACTGTTAAAACAATTTTGAAATACTGTTGCGCGGCTCGTAAAGACTGCACTGTAGTTATGTAGGTACCTAATTATTTTTATTATCAGCCGGGTTAGATATTATTTAGGAATATATAGATCACGGTTGGATAACCGTGGTATAGATTTTGTAAGAAACCTGATATTATAATATTAGTACTTGTATACGTTTTCTCTTTATGACTGGTTTTCGATTATAATATCTATATAATACGAGTTAAATTGATACGAATATATTATAAACGGTGCGCATAGTTGAGATTCAATCGAAATTTTAAGAAAAAATTAAAATTCCATTTTTTTATAATGACACTGAAACAGTAATAATTGTTTTTTCGGAAACGGTGTTATCGTCGATAACGAATTGTAAATTTAGATCACTTCAACAGAATTTAAAGTTCAATCATTATAGTAAATTTAAATGTTAATTTAGGAATGACATACTGCAACTAAATTATTATGTATCTAAATTAAACACACAAATTATAGGAATTGTTAAATAGAAGGCTAATGTATATTAGTTTAAATCACTAATCATGTAGGTAGAGTCGTGAATGAACATTGTATAAATCAATACCAAGAATTTAAAAATGATAACTATAATGGACTTAAAATTATTATACTACTGTTATTATTTTACTTTGTCGGCTTCTAAAAGCAATCATCCAATTATCTGGCTATCTCGATATTCATCGATAAATGATCCAACTTTGTACACTCCCTAAAGCTTGAAAGTTCATTTTTACCATGTGTCAAAACACCTCATTCTCGGCCTTCTCAAAAGCACATTCCTAATTGAGTTCTGCACTAACAATGTAGTCCGTATAATGGTGGATTTTAGCATCACATGTCTAATATGAAGTCATCATAATGTAAAAATATGCTGTAGTTATCATGAACACGAATTTGCACACAAAGCCCTGCACTTTAAACTTCATTCCACCCAAAACCCTTGATTTATAAATTCTCTTATAATACTACTCGTATTTCCAATCTATACAGTGTGTAAACGTCAGTTAAAAAGACTCTATGAATCTGCAAGTGTTAAATATATTTGTATTTTGTGATTTTGGGTACCTAAAAAACTTTATTATACATTTATAAAACTAATTAAATTATTTTTATGCCATTTAATTTCACGCATGTACATAATAATAACTTTTTATTTTTAAATAGCAGTTCTTTCCCCGCTTTTTTTTTTTTTTTTTTTTGGTAATTATATTTACTCTTATTTTTTATGAATTTTAATGATAAAACCAACTGCCTATGTTAAAAAATGGCTAAGTTATGGATATTTAAATGTTTGATATTATTTTTTGACATTTTTGAGTTCTTCATCAATTTAGATTGATGATTTAAACTATTCCTTTTTATACCTCATTATGATATCGTACTATTTTTAGTACCTACTTTGGGGAAGGAAAATTATCTTTCACTACCGAAACTTACTTTTTTTTTTTTTATAATATTTGTCTCTTACAACTATACAATTACAACTAATACCAAACATTTAAATATCCATAACTTGGTTATTTTTTAACACGGGAAATTTGTTTGGCCATTAAAATTTATAAAAAATAAGAGCAAAAATAAATACCCAAAATGGGAGTTGTCATTAAAAAAAGAAAATTATTTTGCGCATGCTCGAAATAAAATGATATAAAAATATTTTAATTATTTAATAAGTGTAAAACAAAGTTTATTTTAGGCATCCAAAAAAAAATTCAAATATATTTAATACTTAATATGAGTGTATCCAACTTATGATTAAAAACACAAATAAAATATTTGCAAATATTCTTAATTTACAAGTTACGAGTACAATATTATACAGTTGAAATATAGATTAATTATACCTATTTACAGTTCCGAGTTAGACATTTTAAAAATATAGGAATTAATTATATAATTTGTATTAATACAAAATCAAACTTATAATATAAAAGATATTATAAGTACGTTTTCATTTAATACGCACGTAAAAATCACGCGTAATATTAAATAACAAAAGAAAAAATATTGCTAACATATAATTTTTTTTTTCAGTTTTGTGAAATCCTTGGATATTGAATATATTATGAATTATGTAGTGAAAAGAAATTCTATACATAGGCACTCGTGAACCCACACTTTGACATAAGAGTTGCTGAATAAAAAATCAAAGTATATTCAACAAATCCTTCACTATCAATACGTCAATTAAAATATATATAGGTACCTACTTCATAATTTGTCTCAATTTTTTTTTCGTAAAAACGAAATAAAAAAATGTTTCTACAATTTGACATCCAAGGATAAAATACGTACGACCGTTGAATTATACATTATAAAAGAGAATAAACTACCAATTCGTATTAAACGTGGATAAATAAATTAAACGAAATAATACATCATAATAATACAAAATATTATTAATAAAAACATTACCTCGGATACATTGAGCGAAGGAAAATTGTCAATGGATACATCTCTAGGCATATCTGCATACCTCATCTTTTCCATAGATAACTGATATTCATTATACCGAGCGTCTGTAAACAATACAAAATACAAATAAATATGATAAAACTAGAGACGATCCGCATAATATAAAATAAAGATATAATGTGACCAGGAATGTTGAACAGGGCGGGATGTAGTAAACAATAATAAAATGATCACAAACAAATAGTAAAACCTGCTCTATAAACAATACCTAATTAGATAACGATGGTACTTATTTAAAATCTAGATCTAAAAAAAAAAAGGCAAAATTATTGTTGTTTTTGTTTTTCTCTTTTCAACTCTATCTAGCACTGCATCACACACCACTTCGTTTCATTTGTTTCTTAATAATGCTAATTCCTTGTATAGTTTCTTATTACCGAGCATTCTCAGGTTTGTTCAGCTACCACTATTTAGATCCCCTATAGGGCCATAGGCGCTTCTTTCCTTGAGGGTTCAAATTTAGGAAATTGTTCACTAGAAATTGAATTTGATCTCACCACATAATCCAACAAAGATTGTAATTCAATAGCTTTTCCTCGTGACTCGATTGAAATATTAATACATCAATTATATTTATATTCAAGATTAAGTTAATAAATAAATATTTATAATAATTTTTTTTGAAGCCGACGGGAGGGAATATATCTCTTCTGCGGACGCCACTGGAATTATTTTAATAGTATTTTTACAATTGCAAAGAATTTAACTAGCCAAACAAACGAAAAATCATTAATTGCCTATACATTCAAACATAAGTATAGGTACCTAATATTCGACAAATCGCATTAGTACTCGTATATAGATAAACAATGGAAATTATAATAACTAGCCACTATAGGTTACCTATATACTATATAAGTATATATATAAATATATATATATATATATATATATATCGTAAACAAACGAATAATTAAAGTTGTACTGTAAAACTTCCATGTAACGGTAACCGAAGGGACCGGAAATAATGACAGTTATTTAGAGGTGACCGTCCTTTAAAGATTTCTTATAGAAGCATAACACTTGACAGAACCAAAAAAATGACAGTTTCACAGAGGAGACTGTCTTTTAGAGGAGGCCGTTAACAGTAGTTTTACTGTATTAGTGGAAAAACCGACGCACCAAGTTAATTATTTGTATAAAGTTGATAATTAGGATCAGTTTCGTTTTATATGTTCAAAAAAAAATAGTTTTTTTTTCATTAAATTAAATAAATTATTGCGAAACATGCATGAAAAAAAAACCATCGCATAATTTATTTAACAAATTCCTCTTTAAAAAAAAAATCAGAAATATAAAACAATTAAATACCAACTAAAATGACAAATCAAACAGTAACATAAATCATTAATAATTATGTAACTAAAATTAAAAACACATTTATACTTCAATAATCGTAATTTTAAATATCAAATCAGTTAAAGAATTTGTAAATTTGCAATATTTTTTCTATAGTTGGTCTGTTTTTTTTTTTTCAATCAAATTACGTAAAATGCTCTAAATTGTTCAAATCAAAAACAAACTGATAACAATTACATACGCAATATAGAGCTTATATTTTTGTAGGTACAATTTATGACAAAAACGCGACAATAATAAAAATTGTCTAGTTTACTTCACTTAGAATTGGTTTTTGATTGTAAAAATTTACTATTGCTTTTATTATACTAACTAAATTACATTATATATACAGGGCGCACCAGAAAAGACTGGCCAGCTCTACGGTTTGTTACTCTATATGTAGCTATTTTATATTAGAATAGCTTTTATGGAAATTTTTTTTTTTTATCTTTAATCGCGTTGTACAAGTTAAAAAAATAAAAGTACTGATACTAGGGATGGGTGTAGCCTCTGTTGTAGGTGGGTAATTGAGAAGATGAGATAGATAAAGATATTTAATTTATACCTGTGACCAACGATAAACGATTCGGAACAAAATTCAGTTACACATGTTTTTAAAAGCTGTAATATTTACAATTTTTGTCAAAATTTAATTTCAAAACTTTAAAAAAAAAAAGTACGTGCCACTTAATCCTGGGAAAATAAAAAAATGACCCGCTTAAAGTACCATGTAGACAAAATGTTCTTTTAGAAAAGATCCTACACTTGATACATCGGGGCAAAATTTCTGATAGAAAAGTTTATACAACAAATCGAGGAGTATTTTTTGATTAAAATAGTCCGAGCTAGCAATCTCTATCGATGGCTTGGGCTCTAGAAACACCTAAAATGCCTTTTTTTCCCTGTTTAATAAAAGGAAACACGGGTCTCTTTGAACTCGCGATCTTTAGGATGACAATAAGTAGGTAGCACTATTAGACTACGACAGACACAATATAAAATTAACAATATAGAATTATTTAACATAACATATAATATCCGCATATTAGAAATTCAATAAGCTATAATTTCGAAACTAAGTCAGTCCGTTCAATTCTGATTTCACAGCCGTTCTTAAATCGGCAGGTTAGGTCAAATGTTTTTTTTACCACTAAGTATGACTTAAAATGAACCTCCTGTCAAAGGTATTATGCATTTCTGTTTAGTTTTATCCACAGAATACCTACCAAATAAAAATTAAGTAAAAACGCGCAAAATTAAAATATCTTAAAATAATTCAAAAATTACTCAAATGTTTTGAACATTTTACTAAGTCTAGAAAAATCAAATATAAATTTTTCGTCTCATTTCAAAATTTTAAGTCTTCATGAATATTTTAACAAAATTACACAAAAAAAAAGTAAATTTAAAACATTATAAAAATTATTTTCGTAAATTTTCCCATTCTTCCTACGTAATTTGCGGTTTTACTCAACTACAGAAAAAATTAAAAAAAGACTTTCTTGGTCACCAACTAAATTAAAAAATTCAACAAAAAAAAAATCTCTTGATGTGTTCAGTTAGAGAATATTTCCAGTAGAAAATGTAAAGCTTAAAAATTTAAAATAATGAAATCGTAACACCGTTGGTTTTTTCCAATTATTATGAAAACTGCTTCAGATACCAAAAACCGACTTTCTCTGTCATGTGGCTATATATTAAAAGGAACAAACTTAAGAGATTTTATTGTCATTTTTCAATTTTTCAATATCTCTGGTAAAAAACATGAGTTGCAAAAATTAAAAACAATGAAATCGGTAAGGCCGTGGCACGTAATCAATACTAGAAAGAATTTTCTTTCAGAAAAGGTACCATACTCTATAGCCTCTACACATAGAAGCAAGATTTATTTTCGAAAAGTTATTTATAGACAGGAAAAAAAACACACATCATAGTAAAAATAATATATCCCTAACCACACTCCGAATCTAAAAGTTATCTATTATTCTTGGCAAGTAAAGAAAGAGGGGACGACATTTTTGAAAATTTGCAATAAAGGAATTGTATACATTAAAATAAGGTCGGGTAATACTACATGCAGGTATGTGTGCACATACTTAAATATTTTTTTTTAGTCTTAACGAATCGAAACAATAAGGCCGATTATTAATATTATTGTCGATTTTTTTACTATTGTTTTTTTAACCAGTTCGCGAACGTATAATGTATTAATAATGCAAAACTTAATATAGTTTATTTTTAATGGACGTAACAATTTTTATGGGGAAAGCTACCATAATATATTATATTGAACGTATAATATCAAAACGTCATAATAATAATTGAATATGCAGCGTAAAGAAAAGTGTAAATGGAACCCCGTGTGGTATTTGATCAGAAATAGATACATACAGAGTGATTAAATTTGTATCAATAGACAATAGGTACGAATATTTTGTGTAAATTTCAAATGTTTGTTGATTTTTTTCATTCTTCGTTGTATAGACAAATCGTTTACACATATACATTCTTTGCGATATTTTCTAAAAATGTACACAAATTCAGTATATAATACTTCGAATTAAACCATGAGTACTTAATATCAACTATTTAAATGTTTAAAATTTAGAGGTAGAAGAAAATGTAACAAATTTCATACCTGTGTTTAGATAACCTTAATTCCTACTTAATTCGTTCGGTATAAATATTAAATTTTAATAATAGTGAAGAAGCTATCTATCAGTTTTAAAAATATATGGTTTTTCTCAGAAAACACTCTTTTGGTTAGTAAAAATAATCCGATTTTGTCCTGCACAATTTCCGAAATTTGTTTAAAATATTTATCGAAGGTTTCAATAGTTCACCCGTTAGATTCGTTTTTTTTATGTTGATTTTTGGGTTATACCTTATCCACAAATGAAAAAACCAAGACTACTACGCTCAGGATCGTTTTTCATATGCAATGATTTATCGTTGCATTCTGAGTATATTATAAACTAAATTGCGATCTACGTAAATCCTATACCTTGCCAACTATACATCTACAATAGTGGCCTACCCATAGTGCGTAGTATGTTTGGTTTTTAATGTTAAAAATTAAAAGTGTCATGATTTTTAGACAAACATCGTTATTATAAAAGATTCACTCTGTATAAATATATATATATATATATATATATAAGTACGAATAACAAATGTGACCGCAGGAGTGCCAAAGGTCGGAAGACTTTAACAAAATATAGGTATAATAATATGAATTGTTAGGAATAACAATATATTCGTATTACATTATTGTATTTGTTATGCTGGCAAAAAAAAAAAAAATAAAATAAAAAATGTGTGTAGGTTATTATAACCTTCGTTTAGTTAGCCGGACCGTTTTTTTATTTATTTTTTATTGACACCATAGCTGTGTATACATATAAAAGAAGTATTTATGTTTCAATTATTGGTTCTATTAAAATAAATTGAACCAGCCGCCGCGGTACAACGTATTATAATATTACATGTATAATTTAAACTGGAATATCATAAGAAGTTTACTTTCTGAGCGTACGAGGTGTGCTTTTTCTCGTTCTTAACAATATTTATATCAGGAATCTTAAACTGAAAAACTTCAGGGACGGTTTCTGATAGAAAAATTTGTCTAGTTGGTGGATTGAACATGTAATTTTTTAATTTCTCTTGTAGTTTTCTTAATAATTAGGAAAACCCGAGACAAAACGTTTAAAAACTGAACAATTTCGCAATAAGGGTTTCTGTAATTTACGATTTTTTTTTTTTTTTTTTGCATGTCAGTTATAAATAATCGTAAAGACTTGACATTTTCAACGAATACTTACATCCATAAAGCATATTATCGATTTTTGAGCTACCTAAAGCCATTTAAAATTGTCTATTCTTTTTAAGCTTTATTATTTTTACAAGCATTTTTTAAGTTTTAATTTTTATGAAAATATTTGTAAATATCACGGCATTTAGAACCATATTTAACAGAACTTTGCTTCGAAATATATTTTCTACTACCCGTATATGGTGCAAATAACATACCATGATTTTGGTGCAAATTAGACTCCTAGAAATATCATATCTACAAAACGCGAATTGTATAGAAAATTATGACAACATTGGTAGAAACGTACAAAAATGTATACGTTAGCCAATTGGATTTTGTTAGATAGGTGCCTACATAAAAATAAATACATTTTATCCACGATAATTAAATTAAAAACTATAATAAAATAACGAATATTATCCGCGTGTATAATAATAAATTATTATCATCAACATAATCTCGTTTGGAATCTTTCCAATAAAACAGTTTTTTGTTTTGTTACTGTGAACTAATTTTTTTTATAAATAACTTTGTAATTGTGTTTTTACAGTAGATACCTATAATTATATCGTTGTTTTTTTCTATGAAAGTAGGTATACAATAAGATCCAAATACCTATAAATGTACGCTGTTCAAAACCTGAACCACATCATCATCACGGCTCTCAAATATATTATACTCAGTACTTACATACAGGGACGTATACAGGAGGAGGGCTTCAACCCCCCTCCCTCCGAAAATTCTTCGAAAGTTGTACATTGTAAACAACATTTATCGACTATTGTAGTATAAAATACAATACACACTACGCGTTTTTTAATTGACATCGCGATTAATCGTCCAAAATTAAACACGTACAAAAGTATGCAAGTATTATAAAGGAGTATTTATAAAACTCAATAAATGTCATGCGCAAGTAACATAAAATAATCATTTTTTCACAATACCTGTACACATAATGTCACCTAATATAATAACCGATAAATGTTTAATAATCATAATTTAAAATTCCGGTGAAAAATGAATATACGATTTGAATTATAGGTAGGTGTAAGAATTTGTTTTAATTTACTAAGCATTTAAGCTTAATTTTTTAATCCCTCCGCACAGTATGTCTTTTTGGCGAAACACTATATATAATATGTCTACTAATATGTTACCAATACTACCAAATCAATAATGCTCTGGAACAAGGTAATCAGGTATAGACTATATTTACACTAACTTTCAATATGGAGTTTTATCGATTCCACCGTTTTAATATCAATTCCGCCAAACTATTTTACATGATGATTCCATTGAATACGTTTATAACATACAGTTAATATAAGTAGAAACATTTGATTAAGAATAACAATTTTAAAAAAATATATAGATTAATCTACAAGTATAAGTATTATAATCTTATAATTACATAAAATTTACATTTATTATATTTATATTATTTTATATTATAATACAATATGGTTTTTTGTCATATACTATTGTACGCTATAATTATGTTATTATTATCAGTTAATTAATAATAATATAACAATTTAAATTATTTAAGAGTTGGTACTCGTAAATAGGAACTCGCGTCAATATTTATACCTGCAGTTTCGTCGATTTACATAACAAAAATATTTTTCTGAAGTCATCGGAAAAATTGAAACTATTGAAAACGAAAGTTTTCTATACTAAATTCGACTGGGTAAATAATATTCTATTCTGTTCTACAAATTTATAATTGTTCTGCTCCAAATAATTTCAGAAGGTACAAATGTGCTGATGTATATGGTATATTATATTGTATATTAATCGATTATTATTTTATAAACAGTTGGCGAAATCAACATGTTAAAAAAGTTCGGCGGAGTCAATAGTCGGCGCAATCAGTGTATTTCTTACGGGTAAAAAGTTTATTTTGTCGGAATCGATATTCCTTCTTCAAAATGCCTTTGGAAATGTTAACCATATACCTAAATATTAAATTGAAATCGTTCGGAATAGGCGATTATTTCCTCGAATGGCTATTTTCATGCTTCACTAATCGACCTCAAGTTGTAATAATTTAATTTCAGTTATCTCATGATTTCCTTGTTTTATTTGGTGTTCCTCGGGAATCTCACGTAAAATGCGAAGAGAACGCCACACCCGAACCGTTTTTAAGACGAAGACATTATTTAGGTGTGCTACCGTATTTTATCTTATATAAACGCGCGACATAGCACATTTGCGTTCAGTAGGGTTAATTTCGTGCCATTAATTTTAATATTAAAGTGGAATGATCTATTACCAACCTTCTTACCAAAGGTAAGAACATTACCTTTGTCCCCCATCGGTATATTTCGGTGTTTTAAATTTAAGCGAGATATGAGTAGAAACATCACAATTAAATGTAAACGCGGGTAGTGGACATCACGCCCTTTTAAGGGCGCATCAACACGAGTATAATAATATTAATATCGAATCCTTTAAACTTTTGATCTGTGATTAAAATATTACCATAGTATACTTGTTCGTAAGTATATACAATATAAATTGCACATTTCGTTCGTGTTTAAAAATATGTTAAAATATTCATACGATGTGTAACAATAGCACAAGCGACAACCTTTGGTTTGCGCATAATAATTTTATTGTAAAATATTTTATCCTCTCGCGATGGTTTTCTTTCTTTTCTTTTTTAATCGACTACACGTGTAGGTACGTACGTACATAAGCCAATGACAAAAATACACAGACTATAGTCTGATAAAAACGGTAATGTCAAAGTCTCGTATAAAGTCATAAATAGTTTTTTTTTTTTTCTACACGTACGGTCAATAACCTACGACACATACACGATAGTAATAATTTCCTTCGCGATTCTTTTTCTACCTATCTACCTATACACTTACTAAATATACTCGCTTACAGTTATTCGATCTAGAAACCATTTGTGACTTATGTGCCTATAATATTATTTGAAATGTTTTAATACATAATATACAGCATGTACCTATACCAAGGTCGGTAAAACTAGGAGGGATTATGAGAGTATACCACCCTTCCTTTACATAATTTTTCTGAAATTTTCATGATAACATATATTACATATTTATAGTTATAAATATATATAAATGATAATATTTGATCAAAATTAATCTTATATGACAAAATAATTTGACCGTCACTGACCCACCATATACTTAAATATACATAACTAACAATATTCACGAGTTACATATTATATAAGAGTAAAATTCTAAATTAATAATTAAATCGTAAATGTAAAAAATTGTTCCTGGTATTATAGGTGGACACGCGAATATACGAAGGCCATAAATACGGAAATTGAAATCGTATTTTTTTTTTTTTTGTCTAGTTTTAAAACGTCTCTCAAAACTAATCAAACAATATTATTACATTAAATATTTATATGGTTTTATTTATTCACTCGCCATACTCGCTTGCACATTTATTTTTATACATAGGTATTGTATATTTTCATCAATATTATGATTGAGTATCAATAAATCAAACCATCAGCGACGATGAAATAAACATCGAATATAGATAAGAAAAGTAGATAAATAATAATAAAACATGGTAAATTTTGTTTTATTTTTGTATTAATATTACGTAATAACAAAAATAAAAACTAGAAAATTAAAATAGTGGACTCATCGTGCGCTAACATATTGTCGCATACAACCGAATACGTGGGCGCAATCAAACAACACATACAAAAGCTTAACGACCTTTATTCATTCCCCGTGTTTGTTATTCGAAAATAATACTCTATTTCCTGTATATTCCGAATTTAATAATACAATTTAGACGGTAAACGTCCGAATATTATTTATTAAAATCGGTCAAGAGGTCTCGTATAGGTTTACAAGTGAATTTAGTGTTTAATGTAACGTCATTAAAAAAAAAAAAACCAAAAACTGTAATATTTCCGAGGACAGTATAAGTTAGGTACACGTTGGCCGATTTTCGAAATTATAATAATGATAGATACTTAAAAAAGACGAAGAAGTGTAGATTTTTATTCATTGAATATTAGATCTTGCTAAAGTTATTGAAGATCCTCGAAAATGCGCCCTCAAAAGTCTTTTATCTTTTAAAGTCATTATCTTTCGATTTTTAACTTCAAATAAGTCACTCAAAAACCTACCTACCTGATATCTGTGTACAGCCAATGTTATTTTATCATCATATAAATGTGTGAGGTTCCCTTTATGTGATAATAAATTGATTGCAGCTGATAAACAGGGATTATAAAGTTCAGAGCCAAGGTAGTAATTATTATTGACTCCACGATATTTAACTCCGTGGGGAGTCAATATTCATTAATAGCCCCCTCTTCAAATTTCTCTAATAAAACGAAACTAACAGAAACTATTATTGTTAACATTTTCTGACGTTTCCCTCCCGCCCAACTAATTATTAAGATTACTAAAAATAAAATCAAAAAATGACCTCAATGCAACAATTAGACGAAATGAGCAACCAGAAACCACCCTGAAGTTGATCAAAGCAAGAAGTCTAGTTGTAAAAAAGTTGTTCAAAGACCGGAAAAATAATCACAAAATTAATCCCCCTTGATTATAACAATACCTACCTAATATTTTAAACTACCTACTTTTATATTTAGCACAGTATTTTATGTACTACCTTATCAAAATTTGCACGATAATAATATAGTTTGTTTGTTTGTTTATCGAAATAAAACACTGTATAATAAATTTAAAAATGTATATGTATAATACATTTTCTTATCTTGTTAAATAAACAAATAAACCTGCTAATAATTTTCGTCAAATCAGCAATTTTAGATGCAAAACACGCATAAGGATAAATTATAATAATTGTATTATGTATGGGTACAACTTACAAATTAAAATTGCATACTTATCATCGTAGTAAATATTTACACGCATAGTACATAATACACATACCTACCTACACTAACTGTCTGCAATAAATAAGTAATTCTAAATTTACTACCTTCTTAAGTAAATAAATATAATAATTATTTAACACTCGTATTAATATATTAATATACTCACATTGAGTAGGTGCCTAGATATAATTAAATATTTGTTCAATATATCAAAATTATAAATTTAAATTTGTTTATTTCAAATAATTAAGACAATTTTTGGTTAGCTTCACCTTTAATGCAGGTGGTAGAAAAAAAAATATATTACACATAAAATTAGCATCAAATCTGATTGGAGTTCTCTAGTCACATAAAACACCTGAAGCTTCTCTCCACTTAATCCGACTTAATCTAACCACATTTAATTCTATTTATTCAAAGCCACTTTTCTTGTGTATAAAACCTTTGGTACTGAAAACTCATATTGTCCTCTTCCTCCAAATTCATACTCTATTCACTCTGTTTTACTTCTATTTATCCTTAGTCTTTTTCCTTCAAGTACTACTCTCCATTTCTCAAGCATATTGTGAACTTCTTCTAAATTTTCTCTTGGTACCTCTTGAATTGTCTTCGTAACTTCATCCATTATAACAGAAAACAGGTCAAGATTCAAAGACGAACTATGTTTAATACCAGTTACAGCCCTAAAATCTTCTGTTATTCTAAACATACTTTTAACACTAGTATTTACACATTCATAAATATTATCATCTATCAAACTAATATACGATTTCGAAACTTTTGTTCATTAACTTTAGGTTTCGATTGAACGATAGACTATTGGGCTATTTTTCGGTTGGATGACTAGATATAGTTTTTAATTGAAGATTTAAAGACAGTACCAACCAAATAGATATGAATTGAAAAGTTAAAATTTAAAAAACTATAAAAAGATTTAAACTATTTAAAGAACTATAAAAATATAAGTATTTAATACATTTGTATGGTTTTTCTTGGCGATTACAAATTAAATAATAATACAATTAAGTGGGTACCGATTCTAATTAACTGACAAATTAAATAATAGATACATATTAGTAAACTATAAAGTATTATGAATTTATAAAATATCACAGCACTTTAAGATAAAAAAGAATTATTATATTAATGGAGTACTTACTTAAATTAAATAATAAAATTACTATCTGATATATTATGGTCTATTAAAATTTAATACTCTTAACACTCATTCATTCTTAATTATATTTTTTTAAATAGTATTTATTAGAATGAATACCTGGGTAAGTACTATTATCTACTTCTGTTGAAAAATGAAAACAATTGCTTTAATTCTTAATTTAAATGTGAAAATGCCTGTAAATATAAATATTTATTTGTTTATAGATTAAATGAGTAGAAATTTGGATCCCAATTTAAACTGTTTATTTTAGTATACAAATACACATTGATAACTTACAGATAACCTCTGAGATATCCTAACTGTAATCAGTGTAATTGGGCATAGTTTAACCAAAATTATATCTATTAACAACTAAATATCCATGATGTGTTGAAATTGTTTCAGCAGAAGTATCTGCATGCATATAATATGTAGATATTGTAGGTAAGTAAATACTTAAAATAAAACAAAATTGGTAAATAAATAAGAAGAAATTGAGTAGTTAGTTGTCAAGCTATTAGTAAACCAAACGCAGAATCAAACATATTATGTACCAAAATAGTAAATGTAATTCTAAAACAATAATTATACTACCCAAAATAAAATCAACAATCACTAATGCTGACTGCATAGTCATTAACAAAGGGTAAATCACAATAACGGAAATCAATATACAAATGTTTGGTGATTATGAAAATCTTTAGTAATCTTACAGGAAATCTAAGTAATCATTGGGAAAATCATGGTATTCTGGAATCTGGTGTACACAATATTAATCAATTTTTTATCCTCTGATAACTAATATGCAATATAATAATAACACTAATGAACACTCTATTAATATTACATTATAACAAAAACAATAATGTATCTAATTGCATTATAGCTATCATCATAAAACTAATATATTATGGACAATGGAAAAGTAATAACAGAAGTAATAATAATATGATGCTCTTTATGTTTAAGATAAAAATGTAATACACACACACAAACTAACCTGGTAAGTAGGTACTATCAAAATATCATTAAGCATTATAACGTTGTTTTCAGTATGTATAATACTTTTCAACGTGATGTCGTTAAATGGATGTTTTAGATTAGCAGTTAATAATATTGTATTTGTACAAGAAGAATTTAAATAGAGGAGAAAAGATAGCTTGTATACATGGATCTGTTGAATTGATGTAGCATAACTACCGAGATAAAAGCATGTTTAAACCTTAATGAGTCTGTTTTCCCCGTCGAGCTGAAACCCAGAAAATATTCAGGTGACCAATGAGTCATTTTACAAACTTTATGTGCATTTTGATTCCAATATAATTTAAATAATAAATATTGCTACCTACCTACTAGTTATTATAGGTAATTATTAATCTCTCTATGCATTCTATAACGTTTTTTTTTTTTTTCTCTAAATCATTAAACCAAGATAAAAAATAGTTTACACATTCTACGCATTATGAATATTTTCTATAAAACGTTGTTAATTAAAAATAAGCCTCATACGCATATTGGGACGCGGGCAAATGTAAAACTATCAACGAACTAACACACGTGCCACGTTAATTCTACCAATGTGACTGCCGTCGAATAAATTGCCAATTAAATTAGTAAAAATAAAACTTAACAGCGGGCTTAACAATAACCGTTTTGTAAGCACTCACATCGTATAGTTACGTAACTTCAATTAACTTTAATTAAGCCCAACTCCCACCCTCAAAACTTCGAACCAATAATAATATAGTTAACCAGACATTTTGCCTACAATCCTCGCTGTTACCTACCGATTAAACTAACAAACGGCGTGTACCGGGGAATTCGACGTTCGACATGTGCATTTAACAAATCGCAGAAAAATTAAAACTCGCCCAAAGGATCGATATACCAGTTGTAGTTTACGTCGTTTCCGAGATTGAATCGGGTAGTATTAATAGTGTGTAGGTACCTATTACAAAGCGCATTGTTGTCCTCTAAAAACCGATGCGGCAGACGGCAGGTGTTCCGCAGGACGTGTATATAATAATTGTTTATGTATTTTTTTTTTTACGCAGTAGCTGCAGAGTGGTCAAAATAATCTTATCGTCACGGTCGGCCGGTAGGTGCAGACGCAGACGCGTGTAGTGCATCACCGCGTTCCGCCCGGGGGAGGGAATTAAATATGAAACAAAAAAAAAAAAAACGCCAAATTTAATACCGAAAAACGAGTCGGCAATGAACGTGATTGGTAATGATATTAATATAAATTGTGGTGTTACACTACCGGGTCAACGTGATTTAAGTCGGCGGTGGAGGTTCGATATCGGCCGAACAACATGTCGCCGATCGAAAACCGGAAAACGAGAAAAACGAACAATTTTCACTACCGGCAACGAAAAAAAAAAAAAATTGACCATGCCTATGCTCAATGCATGAAACAGCCACAATAATACTCAATCATAATGACGCGTCGTACCTGTTTTTACGAATGAAAAGGCCGTCGTCTCGTTGAAATGTCACGCCGATTATTATCCGTTAGTTTGGTGTTTTTTATTTTTTATTTTACTGTTACGTTATATCTATGCATTGAACTTGAACGCGAACTACACCGCCGCCAAAGAGTCAAAAAAAACGAACGGACGAAAAAACACAAACACTCGCGCACTCATAGAATGAGACTGATCCGTATTCCGTTATCACACGCTATACTCGGTTCGTTTTGCGTCCTATCATCAAAACACGCCCACCGACCCCTTCGCCTACTCGCCGCGTACCGGCAATACGTTTGTAACTACACCGATAGGTCGCGCTCCTTCAAAATATCCGCCGGCGCTGATATTGTTTTTCCTTTTGTAATGTTTTGTCGGACAGTTACCGTCTCGTTTTCGTTTCGGTGTTGCCCCTTTACGTCCGTATCCAGCTCTACACTATCGCCCGATAATTAATACAATAATTATCAACAATTTAATTATAACGTAATTTATAGTTTAATGATAATATTATTAACAGTTTAATAATGATATTATTAATATAAAATAATAATAATGACTACCGTCACATACCTATTAACCCAGATAATATAGGTACCTACTGTTGTTATTTTTTATTCATGTACACCGATAGTATAATAAATTAGTTGTTGTTTATAGTAAATCGTCTGGTCGAAATCGTGTTAACAACAAAATGAGGCTGAACCATTAGTTAATGGCTCAAAAAAAAATATATTATAGTTTGCAGAAAAAGTGTGCATACCTATAAATAGTACTTTAGACAAAATTAAACTCAGTTTATATTATATTAGGTGGATATGTACTTTTGTATAAAAAGTTATTAGGTGTTATAACTAATAAATTTAAGTTAAAATGTGAAGTTTTTTTTTAATTACTTAACTGATGTATTAATTTTAGGATTGATTTGAAAAGAAAAGTAATTAAATCAAAATTAAACTCCCAACCTCTGATGTAAACGAGTTGATAGGTACACGTATCGATAATATCGATATCTAATAGTATAATAGGTAGTATTATTGATTATATTTGAGTCACCACGAACGAGCAAATATGATGATGAGATTATGTATTATTAGTCATGACTTTATTTGATAGGTAATTATTTCGTTACACATTTAATGCATCTTTAAATAGGTACCTAATTGCATTCGTCATGATATATAATAATAGGGTAAGAAAACTCTTAAATAGGTAAATTAAAAAAAAAAAAAAAAGTAAATAAATATGTACTCATCATATTATGTTTTAAACAGAAATATTGCACTGCTATACTGGAATTTAGATGATAAGTATAATTATAGATCATATTATATTATACATCTATGGGCGCATGTTTATATCAGGTAAGTAGATACACACACACAAACACACTCGAATAATATTTGTACATACTTATAAATTATAATAGGCTTCTGTAACTTTATATGAATATATATATATATATATATATATATTACATTATATAAACCTACCTAAAAACACAATAAAAAATTAAAAAACTCCGGTGACGAATTTATAGACTGGAGTAAAAATAGGTAAAGGTTTTTAATATATATATAATATTAACAATTTTAGTAGGCACCTACCATACTAATTTTAAGTATCGTTATTATTAATGGGTTTAATTAGTAATGAGGTTCTATAATAATTATGACATTTCCATATCTCGGTAAAATCCGTACTTATAAAAATTAAAATATTAATTTACGAAATTAACAATTTCACATTAAATATTTTTGTTTGACTTACCAAATCACTAGGTACCTGCCTACCTCATAAATTTTACTACATAAAAATTTAATATTAGGGTGTGTCAGTAGTATTTTTTAAAACCAAAGCTTATCAGCTCTTATTTATTTAACAATAAATATTCCAAACAAATATATTAAACGTCTAATAAACTGATACCGTTTAATCTTCAAATAAAATTCAACACAATTTAACATTGAAAGTCGACAAAGTAATTTTATAATTTTTTTTATTAGCTGAAGCATTGTTGGAATATTTTGTACCTCAATGGTACTCAATTAAACCTAATAGGTTTACACAGTAGACACTTCAAACTCATAATGTACACTCTGTATGTAGCTTTTGAATCCTGATCTCACGCCACCATCATATCGATAATCAATTCAATATTTTAGATAATAATTTATATGATTACGATATGACTATACTATAGTGCGTACTGTGTAAACTTTATCATGCTTTAAAATGTTTCAAATTATAAACTAATAAATATTTTTTAAATGATATTCCGATCGTGTTTTTCTCTATTTGGTTAACAATTTAATAGAAATTCAGTAGATAGGTACCTATATCGACAATATCCACAAACCACTATCAGTTTTCCGATTTAGGGTATACAGCGGAGATTCCCAAATCTCGACCCTCCCCCTTAGAAATTTAAAAAAATAAAATGTATTAATTCATAAATGCGTTTAGACAGTAACAACGAAACTTCTGTGAAAAACCGAAAGCATATAACCACGAATAATAAATCAAGGATTTGAATATTGTTATGGTGGCCATTTTGAGAAAAAAATAATATTAAAAAACACATATTTCGTGGGTTTAATTTTTTTTTTAGGTATTTATAATTTCTATAGAATAACAGCTAATGAACCTTATAAAACGATTATCCATTAATAAGCCCAATCAAAAACCGACATTTGGAAGACCATGTCAACGTTGAATGAACTGAGTAAGAAACTACTAAGAAAGATTGAAAGATGGAGCGAGAATTGAAAATGAATTAGGAAGAACTAAGAAGAATTAAGAGGACTGAGCTTTGATGGATGTTACAAAAAAGGCCTGAAAGACCCATGAAGCAAAATAAAAATCTTCAAATTCTACATACTTTGCTGCATAATAAAATGTAGGTAACTAGCAGTGGTACACAGCAAGCAATTTGAATTAGAAGAAGGAGCTAAATACATTTTTACTTGAGACATAGGGGTAGATAATAAGGGGGTTTGTGTTTCAACCCACCCTTCAATAAAAAATTTAAAAAAGTGATTTTGTCAATATGTATTTTAATGTAATACTTTAAACGAAAATGTACAAAAAAAATGATATAAATTATAGGTAACACAAAATATCCAATAGCTTTGAATTGAAATGGGGTTTTCAAGAGAATCTATGGAATACTGAATTACAAATTTTTGGTAATTTTCAAATGTTTTCTCTTTTTATGGTGAAAATGCGCAATACAACTTCTATTTATTGAAATGATAACATATATTTTAAACACCATGTTTGGATGAACCAAATTTTTTCAAGTCATTTAGACCTTTTAACCATGGTTCTAAAACAATAATTGACTGAATGACAACAAGTTAAACTTTCAATTTAAATCAATTCATTTATTAAGAAAACTTTGAACAAGTTGACGAAATTGAGTATTGTGGCAACTATAGTCATATATAGATGATAGACTGAATTTTCAACAATTTATAAGATAAGTATTTGTATTGAATAATTTCGTATAAAATAATTAATAGAAATACATAAATTATGTAAATTTTTTTAAAATTGTTCAGTCAATTTTAGTTTTACAGTCTTAGAGTCATGGTTAAAAAATTTTAATAACTTAAAAAATTTAAATGCATGCAAATATGGTGTTTAAAATGCATGCTATCATTTTTAAAAAATGCAAGTTGTATTTGTATTGTGCACGCACACGAAAAAAGGTTAAAAATTTGAAAATTGTCAACAAATATGTATTTCAGTATTCCCTATAGCTCCTCGTGAAACCCCCATTTCAAGCTGAAGTCACTGGACAGAAATATTTCATATTACCTTTACATAACATCAAATTATCCAATTTCACAAATATTATTACTTATCGATGACCTAAAAAAAATTCCTTTTAATTGAAAATTCTATTAATACTGAAATTATTTAAAACGACTTAAACCGTCTCTGTAGTTGGTGTTTTCTGAATAATTTATGTCTAAACATCTCTAAATGCAAAGCAACGAATCTCTAAAAAAAAGGTGATCCCCATATCTTCATTATTATCATTTAAATGATCAGGAATTCAGCCGTGTCCACCAGAATAAGGATTTAGATATACTTTTTGATATGTTTCTATCATTTAATGTTTATTGTGCACAAATGCAAAGTAAGGCTTCATCTATGCTAGGTTTTATAAAAGATGTTATAAAGATTTTAAAAATCCGATTATTGCACTGAAATCGTTATATTGTGTATATGTGCGATCAATTTTTGATTACAATTTCTTAAGCCTTATTTACATGTGAAAAATTCTCGTGACCGAGACAGTGCTAGGCCTAGTAAATAGAAACGGTTTCTATTCGCTCGTTCCAATGGTTCCAATTACTGAGCCGAATACTGGTCCCTTGAGTTCACACGGGACAGTGCTCAGCCGAGTTCACTCACGGCCGAGCGTTCGTCAGGTATAAACTAGGCACCTTAGTTTGGTCACCTAGAATTGTAAATTCAATACAAGCAATAGAGTCGGTTCAGAATTGACTTTTGAAAATAGTATCTTTTAGATGCAATTTTATACGGCAACCTCATTCCTTTTACCAGCCATTATTAATCTTTTTAAACCTTGAATTACTAGAAACAAGACGAATAAGACTATATCTCTACTCTATTTTTAAATTACTCAATGGGAATATTTATTATACAACTTAACTAGCCAAATTATGTTTCTCAGTTCCTAGTCTTAGACAATCAAATACATTTTATATACCATTTCATTTCACGAACTATAGTTTGAATGCTCTTGTGATCAGATACATGATATTTGTAAATAAGTTTAACATTGATCTTACTTTATGAGCAACTATTAATGTTTTTAATGCATATCCAAATGTTTTACTTTCTTAAACTATCAGTATCATAATCTATCATTGTATCAATTTTTATATATATTATATAAATATATCTTAATAAATGTTTCCAAATTATATTGTAATAAATTGGGCTACTGCCTGCTTAAGAGAAATATAAATAAAAGGGAAAAGTATTATTTTACAGTGTATACCTATAATATATACAGTGTATATTATGTATCTATACCTGCAACGATTCCGCGTTGATTATTCGGTTTGTAAAAACATGACGAGTACCTAATAAATAATTCATATTAAAAATATACTCTACACTCAATAAACATAATATTAATAAAGGCAAAAAG